TTGTTATCTGCGTGTCTATATTATAATATGCTATATAATTGCCAAAAACTACCTAATTTGCATAGTTCTTTTTTAAATATCAAAACCCCTAGCCCTTATTCATTCACATACCAAAAATGAGCAAAATCCGTTGAACCTGAACTGACTAATGGCAATTCCCATTTTTGCCAAAAAATTGCCGTGGCTCAAAAGTACGTCGACTGGCATGCTCCAAAATAGAACGTTCAAACCTCTTACATAGCAGTAACAACTATACCCAATTTCAAATATGTCGGTCAAATGGTTCCTGAGTTATCGTTGACCGTAGCCAAATGTTGACGGAAGGACGGACGGACGTACGACGACCCATGGCAATAGCTCAGCTTGACGATGTCAAGGTGAGCTAAAAATCACGCACCAAATTCACGGTGCTAACAACATTGAGCTTACACGGTGAAATCGCACAGCGTTAGAGTATGATTCTGACCTGATCCCATTCCTAGACTGTCCATTCCAGCTAATCCTCCAAGAGCCCCCAGCCCAAACGGCGTCTGCCCAACGTCTGCCCTAGTTCCTCCAGCAGGGGCGCTGCTGGCTGGGCTGCCACCACCTGTGCTGCCACCTGCTGGCTGCTGGCTTACATTACTAGCCTGCTCCTGTGCCTGCAGGAGCAAACAATAATTGTAATCATCAAGTATGTGGGTATTCCAATGCCGCACGAGGCATCAGGTGAACATTACATTATTTTAATACTCCTGCAGGGATCTCATACTTTGGTCTGCATGAACAAATAGTAACTGCTTAGTATCTATTTTCATAACGTGCAACGATGGCACTGACTTTCCATGTACATTTTTTTCTCTCAACAAAACAACAATCTAAGAAAATAACTAGCATTCTTACCTTGTTTGCAGATTTTATAACTAAGTGAACAGTCATTCCATCCTTGATGTCTACAAGGGAGACACAAATATAATATTAGTACGTGTACGGTACGAGCCATGCACACAACCACGCACACACGCACACACATACACACACCATAAACACCATACAGGTGCAGACACACCATTTTATGACACCGTGTATAAAATGTATATCACAAACCACAAGCACATATCAGGGGTAGAATTTAACGTTTGAAACCACTCGCAATTTTTTTGCGAGTGGGTCAAATTTCAACTCGCAAAATCCGAAACACTCGCATTTTTAATATAATTATCTTTGTAGTGTATAATATGCTAACACTTCAATGAAAACTGTTATCTTTTTAGTTACTTTATAAATGTTATATAATGTTGAGACGACTTTATTAAACCTGGCTACAAAGCGTGAAGATAGAATACTCACAGTAGCGGCCGATCGCGCGAGGTTTATAATCCTTACTAAGTTTGTAGACAGTACGTGTTTATAATTTTGCAGAAATTAGTTGGTCTAGTTCTGTTATGACTTATGTTGACAACTTGTTACTTTTAAAATGCCTGGATATGTGATGTTGGATTTTGATAGTCATCACAACAGATTATGTCACTCGCACAAAAATGCAAGTGCTTATAATTTCTACTTGCAATTTCGGAAATCCACTCGCATTTTGTTAAGTGTGAGAGCGTTAATTTCGAACCCTGTCATGTACATATGCACATAGATTATTATTAAATGTGTACGTAAGTAACATTATTCATGCCTCAAGCACAATAAAATTACTGTAAATAGCAATATTACTTTGCAAGGCTATCAGTAAATTAATAGATCACCAAACTAAATATATACTTACTGTGTTGAAGTAACGTATCCGCATCTTTTAGTATCTTTCCGGCAAATATCAAACAAAGTTGCTCAATAGATGCACTGAATTTCGGTGAAATTAGTTCTTTTAACTAGAACAAAGTAAAAGTAAATTGTATTTGTGTGTGTGCGCACGCGTGAATCCATGTGTGTTTACGCGCGCGTGTGTATTTGTATGTGTGCGTGTTAAAAACACATAAAGAGCATATATACACGATGCCACTACACTAATGTTAATTTGCTAATCATGTTATGACTCAGCAATTCAACACTTTTTAGTTGTTTACGAGAAGCTATAAATCAGTAATGGGCACAGCTACATCAGGGTTCTGCCCACGGTGGGTGGCGGTGGGCGGGTGTGCCCGGCACTCGCGGTTGCTGCCCGGCACTATATATCTCTGTCCGGCACTAATTTTTGATATTAAAAAAAAAGAAAAAAAAGGTCTGATATATGGGCTTTTTATTGCTCAGAATGCAGGAAATTGAGTTTCAGACTATCCAAAATCAAAAATTTTCCGGGGGGCATGCCCCAGACCCCCCTAGATTGGCTTCGCGCCTACGGCGCTTGCATCGTCGCAACTGGATGCGCCCGGCACTAAAAAATCCTGGGCAGAACCCTGTACATGTACAGTAACATCTACAGCAGCCTGTTGATATATACCACTAGATACATATAGTGTCTAATGCCACAACAAACAACTAGATCTAAGGATAGTCACAGAAACGATCTATTAGATATGGTAGGATATCACTGCTAAGACAGGAAGAATAAAATCTAACTGTTAACAATCATTTTCCCTCTTATACAATGTTTAATACGCAGGCCTAACAGGTTTGGTTGCAATTTGCATTAATTAAATTTAATTCAATCACTGAGCACTAAGGCGGGCATAATAATAAAGCCTTTAAGAACATGAACTGTGCACTTTTGCAGACAAATGTCAAACGTTGCACATGTAAACTATATACTCCTGATGGTTTTCTAATGCAGTGCCAATAGGCTATTGATAACTACCACAATGTTCGAGATAGAGCTAGCGCCACCGCAGCGAACGGCCGTGTTTTCGTATCTCTCCGACGAAGGAGTAAACATTACGTGAAGAATACGGCTTTTCAGCGCTTACGACCACTGAAAGAGATTCTACTTTACTCCTAAAAGAAGTACTTTTTCATATTAATAACTTCTATGGTGGAGGATACGGTTTAAAAGTCAAGTTAAGCTAGAATTTAGACTAGAAAGGCAGAGGGGAGCGGCCATATTTGTTATTGTTGGTATTTGGCAAGAAAGTTCAAAATTACCCATCGACTAGATAAATAAACTCTAACCTGGACAATAAAGTATAAACGGATATAGATCTAATGTAAGCTAAATGGGTCAAAAGAAGAAAACATCAAAGAAAGTAGATACATTTGGTAATAGATGGGCTCAATGTTGTAAGGGTAATAGATGGGATATCTGGGCAAACGTATGCGCCGACGATGTTATGCCCGATGATTTCGTGCATGACTGCGCTTTATGTAAGTTTCAGGGGGAGTGGCTGAAGGAAAAGGCAGCACTTAGCGATGAAATCAAGAGCCTGAAGGAGGAGGTTGACCTGCTGAGGAGCAGAGAAGATCAGGACAGCTATGAGGTTCTGGATCCGCTCAACACCACTCCGGAGTCGGAAGACGAGATACACCGTGACCCTCCAACAGAGATGGGGCAAGAGGAAATAGAAGATACATCGTCAAGGAACTCAAAGGAAGTTGGCTACCTAAACAACCTTTTAGTTATTGGGTACTCGATAGTTAGGCAAACTGTAAAAGCTATTTGCAATGATGGGGATAGAAAGGATAGGTGTGTTGTAATTTTTGGAGGTGCTGGAGCAAAAGATATAGAGGAAAGACTAGATAGGATAGTAAATATTTCAGATAGCCAGGGCACAGTACTTATGCATGTAGGGGTTAATGATGTTCTAAACAAGAATCTAGAGGTAGCTAGGAAGGAAATACAAAGTTTAATTATAAAAGCCAGCAGCAAAGACATAACAGGGAAGCTAGTAGTTTCAGGTACAATTCCTTGTTTCAGATCTAAAGACATCAACCAGAAATTGATGTCCATCAACCACACCATCCGGACCATGTGCAAGGCAAATAGGGTAAAGTATCTAGACAACTGGGCGGACTTCGCGGGCAGGCGGGACCTCTACACCCATGACGGACTACACTTAAACAGGAAGGGAGGAGATCGACTGGCTGGAAACTTCGTTAAACTTCATCAGGAAAACTCAAGGCATCAGATGAAGCACAGGATACATCAATCGTGCTAGCGTCGGAGAAACCAATCCCTAGGAGCTCCAAACTGACTACACTTCAAGACCCGGCAGATAAGTTTCAACGAGACACAGGATTAATAATAACCGGAGTAGACCCATGCCATCGCGACTCATCAGAATTCAGTTTTTCCCAAAAGAAAGGTCTACATTTCATTCATTTAAATACTCGCAGTATCCTTCCTAAAATAGAAGAATTTAGATATATTGCTATGCAAGCTAGGATTGCAGTGATTGCAGTATCTGAGTCCTGGCTAGATGATTCAGTTGATGACTCTGAAATTAAAATTAAAAATTATAGTGTAGAAAGGCGGGATAAAGATAGATCAGGTGGTGGGGTGTGTATTTTCATCAAGAATGATTTAGCATATAACATAAGAATTGATATGGATAAAGTGGGGCTAGAAGCTATATGGGTAGATATCTTACTACCAAGATCAAAACCAATATTGACCGGGGTATGCTATCGACCACCAAAACAAGGCAACTTCTTCGAACTATTCAGTATTGGAAACTAGAAAGGGCAGTTGTCGCCAACTACATGTATACCCCGTGATCTAGTATGAATGAAATATGTCTGCAAGGACGTAGAAGGTAGGTAAAGTTAAATAAGTCACAAAGACAAAGGTTTGTTACACAACTCATCTACCTGAGATGTGCAAACTTGTATGTTAAAATTGGTTGCCTTAGGGGTTTTGGTACGTGACACACCTTCTCCCCAAGATGTGTAAGTATACCAAGTTTGCGCGCGCTAGGTTAATTAGGGGCCGAGTTATAGAGCGGAAGGAAAATATGATGCAGGTCAATGTCAAGGTTAAATAAAGGTCGCAGTGACCTGGTTTTGGTACGCTACGCACCTTCTCCCCAAGATGTGTAAGTATACCAAGTTTGGTAGCGCTAGGTCAATTAGGGGCCGAGTTATAAAGCAGAAGGGAAATATGATCAAGGTCAAGGTAAAGGTCAAATAAAGGTCGTACTAACCTGGTTTTGGTACGCTGCGCACCTTCTCCCCAAAATGTGTAAGTAGACCATGTTTGGTCATGTTAGGTCAATTAGGGGTCGAGTTATAGAGCGGAAGGGAAAGTGTCTGCGGCGGCTGGACAGACATGAAACTATAGTATCCCTGCCGACTTCATCGCAAGGAATACAAATATTAGTATAAATGCTGACAGGTTCAATGAGCAGGAAATTATTATATTAGGGGATTTCAATGTTAACGTTCTAGAAAAATCAACGGGAAAAGGTGATAGAATGCTTAAGGCTCTTAAAGATTACTGCTACCAATATGATCTCAAACAACTAATCACTACTCCGACTAGAGTAACTAATATAAGTGAGTCCGCCATCGATTTAATAATGGTTTCTGATGCACTCAAAATTAGTCAATCGGGCATCATAGCCAAGGGAGTGAGTGATCATTTTTTAACTTACTGTACTAGGAAAACTTTAAGACAGGTTATAGGTATGTATAAAACTAGGAGAATTAGATCATTAAAAACATAGTGCAGAGGTATTTATAGATAAGTTAAAAGAGAAGCAATGGTATAAAATTCTTAACGTGGATTCTATAGAGCATGCATGGGAAATTTTTCAAAAATACCTCCTAGAGGCCATTGACACTGTCGCCCCTATTAAACAAGTGCCGCGGAGCGACAGCGCTCATCTAATGTTCGACATCCCAACTCGTTTTCGGATTACCCACCCCCGTCCCAAATATCGTGACCGTAGGTCAAGCGGTTAAGATTTGTGCCCAACTGTTGACGGACGGACGATCATGCGATTCTACAAGCTGCATCTGACTATGTCAGATGAGCTACCAAGTTAGAATAAAACAAAGAACTGAGCCATGGTTTGATAGTGAGATTAGAGAGCTTATTCTGGAAAGAAAAATAAATAATTACTGCTTCATAAGAGGAGTAAAGATGAAATTACATACAAGAATTTTAAATTGCTTAGAAACAAAGTTCAAAATAAAATTAAGAAAGCAAAGGCTAATTACTATACGGAAAAGGTTGAGGACCACAAAAATAACCCTAAAAAATTATGGCAAACTTTAAAGAGTGTGGGGATGAAAAATAAGGGAACCAGTAACTTGGGTGGGGTAGAGCTAAAAATTAGAGAAAATACATGTTTTGACAAAGCAATTGTTGCAAATAATTTTAATAAGTATTTCACAAGTGTGGCCTCAAACCTGGTGAACGATCTACCACAAAAGGAAGGGACGTATGATGAGATTAGTCTTCAACATTATTATAGGGACAAAGGCGTAGTAGAAAATTCATTTACTTTTACAGTGGTGGGAGAGGAAGAGGTACTACGGGTGTTGAAAAACATTAATACAGGTAAGGCTATTGGGTTAGATAATATTCCCGCAAAATTTATAAAAAAAGGATCAAACGTTATTTGCTCAGCTCTTACATATGTAATCAACATGTCATTCACCCAAGGAAAAATCCCTGATGACATGAAGGCAGCAAGGGTCATTCCGATACATAAAAAGAATAGCAAAACAGAACCCGGAAACTATAGGCTGTGTCAATTTTAAGTGTCATGTCCAAAGTTTTGGAGCGAATAGCCTATAACCAAGTAGAGAAATATTTAATAGAAAATTCCTTACTGTACGAGTTCCAATCTGGCTTTAGATCAAATTTCTCAACTGACACAAGTTTAATCCATATAACTGATATTATTCGTAATGAGTCGGACAAAGGAAATCTAACTGGTATGGTTTTATTAGATCTTCAAAAAGCTTTTGATACCATTGATCATAAAATTCTACT